TCACGATGATTCCTTCAACGTATGAACGTCGGATAAATGTTTGTATGTAAATGGAAAAACACATTGATATATGGTGGGATTCAAACTCAGGACCTGCAGATTACAAGTGCTTAATCCTTGTCTCACCGAGGCTCATTTTATGCTGATGAAAAAACCTTAAAATACATGTAAAAGTTTTTATGACTCTTTACAAAATAGATGTATGACGACATTAGTTTCTGACTTCACAAATTGTGTAATAAAGATATATATATTTTCCTTGTGGTAGAAATTCATAAATTGCAGGAATATTAAAAAATTCACTAAAAAGACGCTTTGAGGTGTGTTGGTACGGAAAACTACTGCGACATCTTATTAAATTTTAATACCCTAGATGTGTACGAAAAAATATAAGTAACAGTTCAGAAAAATTAAATAGCATTTAACTTTAATATAAAGCGTTGTTCACTGTTTCATTTTTATTGCAGTTGGCGTTTAGCTTGAAAGAAATTGAATGAAAGGCTAATTATGAATATAAAGGTGCTTATACAAATGGCTGTAGAAAAAAATTACAAGCGAATAAAATTAAAATGTCAACTTTATTATATTATACATTATACATACATTTATTACACAATTTTTATGCTACTAGCTGTCCCCCGCGAGTCCGTCTGTGAGGGATTAAAAAATAGTTAATATCCGATTCTCAGGGCTACTGAATATGCATGTAAAATTTCATCAAAATCGGTCAAGCCGTTTCGGAGGAGTATGGTAACTATCCCTTCTTATATCATTTTAAATTCAAATATAATACGACGGTATAATATCCTCAAACCGAACAAAGAAAGATTTATATCGTACGGTCTCATTTCTCTTAGGTAACAAATGTCGCCGTATAGTAAGAGCTTATGAATCTTTTTTCAAATAATCTACACCAGAAAAGTTAAAGAATATCAAGACTAATAAAAAGAGTCAATAAAACTAAACTATAGAGTACAACATTTTGACCAAATCCACACTAAATACGGTGAATTGTGATTAAGCGCTAGTTGCTACATTATAAAATTTCCTTTCGATGTAGGGAACCCTAAAAAGAGATATAAATTTTGTTCCTTTTAAGGGTCAAATGTTGACCGACCTCCTTTAAGCCCTTTTAGGGACGTCCGGCAAAGTAAATAGTTTTGTTTAAAGTCAAATTCCACTAATACAGGGATTCTACTCTTTTATACCATGTGAATTAAAACAGATGAGTAAAGTTCTTACAATGTACTCTAATGTACTCTTTGACTGATGTATTTCTTTATCTTACACAGCCATCAACATCATCCTCTACTTATTTAGCATGTCAAGTCTTAACAGGCTACTTAAGTAAACTTTAAGCCACAACGGTGCGATTCTCGCGCAACTTCTTGCCTCGCACAGCCGCGTTGTTTAGCGGTCTGTCCTCGGCGGTATTTCCAGACCAACTTAGGGACCGAAGCGAGCATACCATTTCCTTAATGGCCGGCAACGCATCTGCGGTTCCTCTGGTGTTGCAGATGTCCATGGATGTCGTTGATCACCTCCGTGTTCCCGCCGCTCGTTTGCCCCCTTCTCTTATAAAAAAAGCTACTCCGAATGTAGAGATAGGTACTTATTTTTAACTTTACCGAGGCTATGTAAATATTGAAATATTGATGAGGTTAAATTGTCCGCTGTCAACCTGTCATCGCCCACGTGCCAGCGGTGACGTGAAACAATGTTCTTTAAAACAAAATTGCTAAAATTGTATTGAGAAATTTGTCTGTCGATTTTTGAAACATTAATTGTTTCAAACTATGATAATAAATAAATAAAAATAAATGCCTTAATCGGCTTTTTTTGGCCTTTTGATGTGTTGTCATTCTTTAACGGATACTTAGTAGCATTTTCAAATATATATATTGTTAGCTGAGGGTGGAACTTAAGAATAATGGTGAGGTGATGCCAATATAAGAGAGCGCACCCTCATTTTCGGGATACACTCGCCACCGAACACTCAAGCCAGTGGAAGCTCTGCCCGTTTGACTAGCCAAAATAATTAATCATTTTAACTCTAAAAGTTGATCAAGTTAATGTTATATTTCAAAATCATTTTAGTGTTAATTTAATTCAATCAATTTTGTTAGTTTTGTTATTAAATCATAAAAGTACTAGTAGTAGTGTATAAGAAATTGTTTTTTTTTTAATTTTCCCTGCTTCTGATCCCTAAGAATATCATATAACATACTAGCGGACCCGACAGACGTTGTCCTGTCTATACGTCTTTAATTTGAATAAATTGATATGAAGTTAATATTTGATGAAAATTGTGAATCTAAACCATTCCCAGATCCCCTTGAACACACACAAAAAATTTCATTAAAATCGGTCCAGTCGTTTGAGAGAAGTTCAGTGACATACACACTCACAGAAGAATTATATATATAAAGATTTCCAGCACTTATTATTAGGAACAATGCTATATGTATTCGAATTAATTGAATTGTGTACTACACATAAAAAAAATGTTAACAAATGTATACATTTTTTATGTTTAAAATCTTGCCTTACTAAAAACAATATGAAACATTTTTGATATGCAGTACGTTGGGAGTTGCAGAAATTGGAAATTGCGTCATTCGTTTTGCTAACAAAATACAGAAGAATCGATCGACCTAAAAATGACACATCTAAGAGTGCTTTAAAATAGAACTCTTGATGTAATGGAACGAGCGTTTCCATGGCAACGTCATTTGCATAATTAAAATGATGGAATTAATTAGTTACTGCGAACCTTCTTCATAATAAAGCTACTATATTTTTTACTCCCCTGGCCAACAGTAATCATACTAATATTATAAATGCGAAAGTTTAGAAGGATATTTGTTAGAAGGTATCTCCAAAACTTGACTTGCAATCTGCAGGTCCTGGGTTCGAATCCCGCCATGTACCAATGTATTTTTTGATTTCCGATTTACATATGTACATTTATCCGATATTTACGTTCTTACGATGTAGGAATATATTGTGATGTAACCTGAACATATCTGAGAAGAAATTTAAAGATATGTGTGAAGTCAACCCGCACTAGGCCAGCGTGGTTGACTATGGCCTAATCGCCCTTAACTTAGGGTAGGCTCCGAGCCCCTTGGTGGGGACGTATAGTGAGCTGATGATGATGATGATGATCTCCAAAACGGCTAATTAGTTGTAATTTATAATATTATAACTATACTATATAAGTATTTACATTAGTAATTATCTTAGTATATGGTTAGTAAATAAAACATGTAAAGTTCGTATACGAATTAAATCGTAGTCGAAATTATATAATACGTATAACATAAACGTTAAAGATAAACTCCTAAACTACTGAACCAATTCATATAAAATTTTGTAACCATCTGTAATTTGGTCGAACTAAGTTATTATCTTAATTATTGTCATTTTTCTTATTGTGCGCGGACGGAGTCACGGGCTTCAGCTAGTTATTTATAATTAATGATACACTTAACTTTGGTATAGTAAATCGGTTAGTATTACCTATTAATTAAACGTCATCAACCTTCAAAGATATTGGTAAAGCTTTGTAGTCGAGTTAATTTGGCTTTGTGCCATTAAAGCCTGGAACCGTCAGCTCTGATTTTGTGTGTACTGTGTAAACCAATGTAAAGGAACTTATTTGAAATGCTAAATAATTAAAGACAATCTTTACTAATCGAAAAATATATAAAATTTAGTGGCGACCACGCACAGGTCGACGCAGCGTGGGTAGGCCTCCCGCAAGATGGACCGATGACCTGGTCAAGGTTGCGGGAGCGACCTGGATGCAGGTAGCATAGGACCGGTCATCTTGGCGATCTTTGGGGGAGGCCTATGCCCAGCAGTGGGTGACTTACGGCTGAGAAAGAAGAAGAAAGAAAGAATTAAACACATGTTTTAATCTGTGTACATTGTCCACTTATCTTAAAGTTAAGCCAACATTAATGCTGCACATTTTGTGAAAGAATGTAGCAACTAGCTCTTTATTAGAGGTCAAGTCTTACTACCGATACACAGAAGAAACTCTTTTTGAAGTGTGTTAAAATTTTTGGGACGTGTCTATTTTGCCTGTGATTTACTAAAAATATTCTATATTGCATTTAAAATGTACGTAATATTTCCCTTGTTTTTATTTATTTTTAACTACAAAGTATTAAAGTATCTAAGCGCCTTCTGTACTTAATTGGAAAAGTTTTAAGGAAGCGACGTCTGTAAGGAGGAAGCAATCAATGTAATCCTACTTTATTTGATGTTACTATCTTTGGTATATACAGGATGTTTTATTTATTTTTAACTTGTGAACCAGAGTTTATAGGCTTATAGGAAAAGAATACATTGGATATAACGAAGTAGAGACGTAAATAGGAATTTATGACCTTTTGACGACATTTTGCGTTGGTTATTTTATATTGCTGTCACCCCTTGACAAAAAAAAAACATTAGAAGTAGCCTATGTGTTCTTTCAGAATATCTTCTACATGTGTGTTAAATTTCATTAAAATCCGTTTAGCCGTTCCGGAGATAACTTCAAACATCCATCCATGTAAACTCTCGCATTTATAATATTAGTAAGATCGAAGTAATCATTTTTTTTTATAAAAATGGTAATAACCACTAATGAGGAAGAATCCCGCTTTAACAGTAAAACCTTGATAGTATTGTACAAATTCTTATTACCATATGTTTCGATGAGCAACTTAACGGTAATAAATTTATTTGGGTGTAGTTTTATCCATTTTTTAAATTAATTACTAGCATAGGCGTCTTAAAGATATTTCTAGCATTAGAAGGAATCCTCAAAAAAAAACAGTGAAAAAATCATACGCAATCGTGACTTAATGCAAATATTATTATAGTAATTAAATTAATTATATTACAAAGCCTATTTGCCAAATTTTAAAAAACAAAATAACATTTTTCTGCTAATATAAATATGCGTTGTATTTCCTAATTATTATCAGTCTTCGACTTGTCGCATACGCTTCAACTATCAATTTTAAAACTGAAAAAATGAGTTTCGAAAACAAAGTAGTAATCATAACTGGCGCCAGTTCTGGAATTGGAGCTGCTACTGCCGTCCTTTTCTCTAAAGAAAAAGCCAATGTTGTTCTGGTAGGAAGGAACGAGACGAAACTAGAAAGCGTAGCTGCGCTATGTGAGACTAAGCACTTAGTTGTGAAAGCAGATGTATCAAAAGAAGAGGAGGCGATTAAAATAGTTGAACAAACAGTAGATGAATTCGGAAAGATTGATGTACTGGTAAACAATGCTGGTGTATCACGCTATGGAAGTGTTGGATATGGTAACATATTAAAAGCATACGATGAAGTGATGGCTACTAATATGCGAGCTGCTATTATTCTGACGTCATTGTGTGCTAAGCATATAATTTCTAGCAAAGGTAATGTTATTAACGTATCAAGTGTGTTAGCAGTGATACCACCGAATAAGCCTGGCTTGTTACCTTACTGTATATCCAAAGCAGCATTGAATCTTTTCACTCAAGGCGTTGCTTTGGATCTTGGGAAGCACGGTGTTAGAGTGAATACGGTTAGTCCGGGACCAGTTAGGACAGATATTATTGTAAACTCTGGGATTCCAGAATCGAAATTGTCTTGGGCTGATTTCGCAGCTAATACAGTTCTGAAGCGAGTTGGTGAACCAGAAGAGATAGCAGATCTTATTGTTTACCTCGCAAGTGATAAAGCAAAGAGTATTACAGGATCTAACTTCGTCGCTGACAATGGGTTCACTTGGAAACGTTAAAAAAGAGAGAGAGAGTATTTACCAGAACTATTTCCAGAACTATTTCCTATTATTTATTAATTAAGGATTGGGTAATAAGATAATGCAGTAAAATGTTGGATATTTTAATATTAAATTTGATATACTGAGGCGTATATTTTAAATTAATTGGGGGAATAGAATTTGTCGCCGTATTGTTAATATAATTCGTTATTGTTATTTAAATAAAAAAAAATGTGTTTCAAATTAACTGTTGTATTTTTTATCTTTCAAAAATTGTTTTATCTATGAAAATCATCATCAGCACACTATGTGTCCCCACCGAGAGGCTCGGAGCCTACCATAAGTGAAAGATGACTAGGCCATAGTCAACCACGCTAGCCAAGAGCGAGTTGGTTGACTTCACACATATCTTTGAATTTCTTTTTTTTTAACTATGTGCAGGTTGCATCACGATGTTTTCCTTCACCGTAAGAACGAAAGAAGACAAACGAAGAAGAAGTCTATGAAAATATGCGTACCTAAATCGGCGTTTGAATATTTCTGAAATGTCTTAAAAAAGATCTTTTCTTTTTTAAATAATTTCTAATGAAAACTGAATCAGGGCATTATAGTAATCAAGACTTTCGGATCTTTTGTGTCTTTTCGTACAATTTGAGATCCAACTGATTTACAAAAGACCATTTCTTTTAGATCCATCATTTAGGAAACTAAATTGACACGACCGAACAAATGTGACCCTCGGGTTTTAAACGGCATTGTAAAGATTTAAGATAAATTTAAGATATCTTAAAGTAAGAAAGAAATATTTTTCAAGTGTGTGTCTTGCCTGCGATTTTGTTCATCATGATGAGTTGGAGATGGTCTTAATGCTCAACACAACAATACATGTTACCAATATTATAAATGCGAAAGATTAAATGGATGGATTTTAATGAAATTTGAAGAACACATAGGCAATAAGTAGCCTAAGTTTTTGTCACAAGCATGGAGTTGCGGCGACAACTAGTTAACTATCAAGGATGAAAGGCAAAGTCACGAATTTTAATGTCATTATGGACTCGCACGTTCGCAGTAATGATCACCAATTATCACGTACGTGGTTCCCGAATCAACTTAATTACAACCATTCGAGCCAAAACGTTTTAATTGTTCTCTTGTGAAGGACTATTATCGATATTTGTGTAATATTATGTTGCTACTAGCTGTCGCCCGCGACTCCGTCCACGCGGGATTAAAAATAGATGTTGGCCGATTGTCAGATCTACTCAATATGCTCACAAAATTTCATGAGAATCGGTCAAGCCGTTTCGGAGGAGTATGGGAACGAACATTGTGCACCGAGAATTTTATATATAAGATTACCGTACGTTTCCATTGCGGAAACAATCGCACATCTACACATGTAGGAACTTAGTTTTTAATTTACTACATAGGAACTGATTAACACTACTTTTATATTATTCTTTTCTTTTTATTCTGACCCTAGCAGTCATAAATCTTGAAGCATTATGTCTTGTACTTCGAACCTTTTTCAATATTTTATCGATAGACAGATTTATGTCTCTATATAAATTTTTATAACGATTGATATGACACATTTTATTATGCAGATATAATATTTTAATATTATAACACTTAAAGCTGATAATACATTATAGAATATTTAGAAATGGCGGTACGTATTAAGTTAACCTGCATTCGTCCACTCCTCATCCATCATGGACCGTACAACCCCACCTGGCGGCCGCTGCAACGTTCGGTGGCGTCTTACCAACGCCAATTGCCACCAAAATATTGTCATTCTGGTTTCCAAGGGTTGTCCCCGCGAGGTTTGCGAGGCAAATTAGTACCTTTATTCCTCCCAATCGGCCAAAATCGAGGTCGTGGCAAGTATATGCCGCGGTGATCAGGAGGCGGGAATTTGCTGGATGGGCGAGGAGTCGAATGTGTGTTAACCTTTTAGCTTTAATATAAATCCTTGCAAAAACTAAGGACCGCATTGACTTCTGCATGTACACTAGGGGTCCCTAGGCTTGGCTATTTATCAAATTATTCAAGTTGAATCCACAATTTGTATTATACAACATTAATTTATTTAATAACCTTATTAATAGCTTTTATTGTTTATTCATGACATTAAATATTTCTTTAGGCATATGAAAAGAAAACAATACAAGTAATTTGTCTCATTATTTGAGTTGTGTAATCTCAAGGTGAAGACAAACATAATAAAGTGATGTGTGACTAAGATATTAGTTGACTCATTATGGATATTGCGAATATATTCTTTAACGAAATATGTATTTATCTGTGTTTGTTTATGTGTTGCGATAATGTTAATAACAAATAATAATTGTAATAGAATTTGGTACGTCACCAAATAATGTTAAATGTCAATTATACACCGCATGCACAAATTAGAGTGTTTTCCGATTAGAGTGTTTTCCGATTAGCGTGTTTTCCGATTAGTATGTTTTCCAATTAGAGTGAAAATGATTGTTGATTACGATTTAGATTGTCATAATTAAAATGCTAATATGGATGGGTTAATGAATCATGCCAATTACATTATGTATTTATTTAAAATATTAGGAAGCGTAAATGGACAGACTAGATTTCGTATTAGTATTTTTAATAGGTGTAGGAGGGGGGTCATAGTGTTTTCAACTCTACAAATTAATGTGTTTTTGCGTAGTATCAAAGAAATGAAAGTAAATTATAATAAACTTTCCAACTATGTTACTATTCGAATATTAAAAAATCTTTTCATACTTTTTCCTTTTCACTCAGTCGTTTGCTAAACTTTCATTGTGTTAAGTGAATTTACTTCAATCCAGTTTCCCAGTTTAATATTGTCATATTCTCAGACTAACATTTACTTTGCTCCTTGTACAAACGTTACAAGACCAACTCATTTACAGACTGGATACATTACAAGGACAAATTTATAGTGGATTTCTGAGACCAAGAACTCCTTTTAAAATATATTGTTATTTCTGTTTTTAACAACGATAATGAAAAATATGATATGTTCTATACAGAGAATTTGACCTCAGAAAGCCCCGGTTCGTCGTTTACGAATAGCATAAGAAAATACAAAGAAAGACTGAAGGAATGATAGTGTAATGTACAAAATCCAAAAATATTTATGCGTATTCTTAAGTAAATTAAACTTAAGTAATTTCTATTAACAAAAGTAGATAAATTCACAATTATGCATAGTCTAAGTATACAAGGTAACAAAAATCTCGTTTGAAACAAATGACATTGTGTAAAACAGGTGATGCTCCGCCGTAAATTTCCCTCCAGCTTCTGCAATGTTTCGTACATTCGCACCCAAGCTTAATCTTGATCCTTGTGACATATGAAGACGTAAAATTTAACAAGACGCCTGCGAAATTACTTCCTAACTTTGAAGTCATAGTTAGTATAGCAATAAGGAAAAGTTTACAATGTTTTAAATTATTTGTATTTGGTGATTTAATATAATTTTCTTCATTTGTTTACTTAAAAAGATTAATTAAATATCACCTAATATTTTGCTATGTTAAAACTTGGTCTATTCGCGTTGTCAATACATTTTTTTGTTTAACTTTGCAACTAGATGGCGTTGTATGATTCCTGCATTTCGCTATATCTTTTATTGTTCCAATGTAATATATGGATCTGATTGTTTTTTAAAAATATTTCTAAACGGTCGTTAAATTTGTTTTAAAAATTTTCCCACTATTATCATAAACAAGCACTATTAGGAAAGAGCATTATGAACAAAAAAATTAGGATTAAAAAAAGCGTTCTTTTATGCATTAAATCTTTTATACAAAAATCGAAGTTTAGAGTACAAACCCATCACATATGCCATTAAAACAAATCGTCTCACTTCTCCAAAACACTTCGCTACTATAAAACATTTCTTTGATATAAAAATAGTCACTTTAAGAGAAAAAAAAGAGAAAACAAAGCTTAACATTTTCCGCTGAACCAAACTATACAAAAATCTTCAACTCGATGTTCTTTGTTCTAAAAACGCTATTTCAATATCTAAAAGGCAAAATAACATCGTCAAAGAACTTTTATGTCTAAAGAATAAATGTACATGATTTTATATTGCCATAGTTTTCACTTCTAATACTCCTCACATATTTCACTCGCTTTCTCTACATCTTATATTGTAAATTTATCTTTAAAGAATGATTGATCCTTACCCATGTACGCTTTTTTTATCCTTCTAGCTCTAGAGCCCTTGACTTAGTCCAGCAACTCTTCCACCTCGGTCTATCTCTGGCCACGGATTTGCAATTTGGTATGCTTTTTGCGCGTCATTTACGCCGTCCATCCATAGGAGCTTTGGTCGCCCTCCATAACACACTTTGGTACTCCATCCATTTAATCCATAAAATAAAGTATTATTAGTAACAACGTAACAAAATAAATTATGTACATTATTTTATTTGACTAACAGTATATGAATGTAAATAGTGCCACTATTTATTTTTATCTTTTTTTTACTTCTTACAATTTTACACGTGCCTTTTTCCTTATTATTTTTACTCAAAATATCTAACCATATTCTTTACACTTTTTATTTTAGGGTTCCGTACCTCGAAAGGAAAAACAGAACCCTTATCACTTTGTTGTCCGTCCGTCTGTCTGTCAAGACACTTTTTCCAGGAACCTGTGTAGGTATCCAGCTGCAATTTATTTAATTCTCTCTCAATTAAGTTGAGATTTTAGTATGTATAATTTTTATATTACCACACCTGCTTCGCTCTTGGAAATAAAACATCAACGCTTTAAATTCCCGAACCATTTACTGTTGACTTCGAAGTACTAGGGCACACCTGGTGTTTGTTACAACGTAAAGGTCGGGTATTAGTGAACGTAATGTAGTAACTTTCTTGTTATAAATTATGTCGTTTTATAAAGTAACGTAATCCTGTTGAAATCGATTGAAAATGTTTATGAAAATTTTTGATGAAATATGTTGAACTGGGTAAGGTACTTTATTTATACAAAGAAACATGTTTTGGAGTTAACTCCACAATGCCGACATATTTTAGAGTTAACTCCAAAACTACAAAACTACAAAACTACAAAACTACAAAACTATTAAGTAGTAGTATAGTAGTTTTGTAGTTAGTAGTTATGTAATGTGAATATCGTTAACTGTATTTTCAGATTCTTACCTAAATCTTTAGTTAAAAAAGTTTAAATTGGTTTAAACTTTAATTTAATATAATTAAGTGTCATACATTGTTTGGAATATACATATTGAAAATTATATTGTTTATAGATTTTATTTTAATGCAATAAATAGTTGATTTGATTATAATTAAAATTGAAAAATCGCAGATTTTGTGAGTCAAGTTTGGTCACTTATTTTTTTACTATAAAAGCTTTCGATTTAAAAAAAATAGCTTTGTCCCCAAAACTATATTACTACGTGCTAAGTATATTGATTATATTTCGTGGAATTAATCTTTAAAATCCAAATCAACACGCGATCTGTATGAAAACAATTATTTGCATTATTAAAACAAAATCGAAATATTTTAACACACGCTATCAAGCATGTTATTCCGACATTAAATTTAAAAGAAAACTAAGTATTTAGAAAAGATTAATTTCCGTTTTTTTTATAAAATATTTAAGCATTAGTATCACATATAACAAAGCTCTAGAATTAAAAAAATAACAGTGAATTTCGTGTGAAATGTATGACGAACTAATATTGCTATCTCTTTTAATATCTTTGTGAATAATAGAGATAACGATAGGATTTATTTTATTCGAATGTCACATAACTTGAACCTCTTTTTATTAAAGATTAATACTGGCTGATTATAACAATATTTTATAAAAAAAAAATCGTTTGCCAATAGCATTGATATGCGTATTTTTTTTAAATTTCGAACGTACGAATGATGTTAATTGAATGATAATAGCTCAGTTAATTAACGATTCGCTCTTTATATTTAATAATTGTTCTGGCGCTTTTATTAATAATGGCTGATCCATAATTATTTTTAAAAGCTTATTAAAAACAGCAGGGATGAAAATTTGCGAGATAGTATTCATAACGTCATCGCTGAATTTTGTCAAAATTTTTGTTGTTTTAAATTTTCTTAACATTCATTTTTTTCGCGGGATTGTCATTCATTTTTATCGTTTTTTTAACTCTACATGTATAACTTTATTAATGGTCAGTTAGATTTCGTTCTTATATATGAACTCGGTGGCAACCAAAATTTCTCGTCGGAATAACGAATTATTCCAGAGTGAAAAAGATATTGGAAAATATCGTACGATATTTTTTATAAATAAATGAATACGACAACAAAACTATTTATTCTAGACCTATTCAATATTTTTGCTGTTCACAAAGATATGCCTAAACAAAACTAGGTCCGCTTCTTTTACAAGAACCTCCGCAAGAAATTTATTCCGCTTTGTAACTGCTCATAAAAAGTGATGTGCCATTGCTTTTATGTTTATCGTTTTGTTTTTCGCTTATTCAGATTTAAAGAGAAAAGTGGACGAAAGAAATCATTACTACTTTTATAATTAAGGCATTAAATAATGTTGAGCAAATGTTCGTTTCTCCTGGAAGAGACATCTCAGAGAGACGTGTGTGTGATAATATTTGCCATTTACATTTTTTTTTAATATATCTTTGTTCAATCTTATTATCCAGTCAAATAATTAACTCATTGGTTAATTTATAATCTAACCTAACTTCTGACTAATATTATAAATGGGAAAGTTTAGATGGATGGATGTTTGTTATAAGTTCTAAAGGTTCTTGATGAAATTTGGCACAAATATAGAACATAGAAATATTAATTTTTTTTTTATTCTCATGCCGACAGAGTCTATGCGACAGCTAGTAATAAATAATAGGACAATAATTGACTGGCATGTCTGATATTCTAAACTTTATCAGAAAAAAAAAATCTCAATAGAAAACATATTCATTGCCTAAGGCGAGGCTTGAAAGGAAAAGTAAGCAAACATTTTCAGATATTTCAACCCTTCGTTTTAGAACAAAAAGAAAGAAATATTTCTTATAATAGTAAAGAGGAATATATTCTAAGCAAATGTACAAAAACTTAAACAAATTACCATTTGGCCAAAGTAGTGATAAATAGAAATAAGGTCTGAGCTGTGATAAATGTTTTAATTTTATTTGTTTTATTATTTATTTGTTTTAAAATTTTAATTTGTACGTTATTTCATTTTACTAAATTTTGCCTCGTATTTAATCTAAAATTTTATTTGAATTTTAATTTGAAAATTTTATTTGTATATTGATATTTAACTTGTACATATTATATTTAGCATAGATCTTATTTTTATTTTAATTTGAATTTTAATTTGTAATTTAGATTGGATTTTATTGTAATTTAATTCGAAATTTTAATTTGTATAATAGGTATTTTAATTGTAATTTTATTTAAGTTGTATTTTGTATATTATTAAAAAAAAAGCAGTTGTAAATAGTTTTAAGAAATTTTGTAATTTATTGGTTTTTAAAATTTTTTAATAAAGTAATAAAGAATCTTGCATCCCAAAGTCCCTGATCGCCATGTTAGGGGAACGAGAGGGCGGCATAGCGCCGCCCAATAAAAAAAAACGAATTACCTTATTATAACAACTGTTGAAAACGACTAGGCAAATATACACGACTAAACTCGACTTATTACACCGTGTACTCCAACTACTTGCTCCCATATACTTTAGTGAATAGTCGACTAACTAATCTTTCAATTATTCGATCAATAAACGTGGGTTTCTGAGACTAAAATCTCCATTTAAAACATATTGTTATCTCTTGTCAAAGATGAAAGACAGGAATGAAATGTTTTATATAGAGAATTTGTCGCCAGAAACACACGGTAAGTGGACCAAAATATGGACCAAAACGATACTGCTATTATCTTGATTGACCTATATCTACACTATTATCTAGAATCTAGATTGAGTGAAATAGAAAAGATATTTATTAAATATCAGTACATTAAATAAAGTAAATTACTTATCATTATTCCTTGCAGTATTGGAAAACTGGATTGCTTCCAGCAACGATAACTCACCTTTTATATTCAATTCAAAGAGTTCTCTTAATCCTGTAATTGAATGACGACGAATGCTATCACTTTATAAGTTAAATAGCTAGGATTGGGACTATCTACGTTTAGCCTTGAAATAAATGTTTTAGGCTACTTTAGAGTTTTTTTTTATAAAGGAACTACCAGGAAATCTGTATGGGTTGATAGTTGTATAAGTACTTAAGTCTGGTACAATTAAATATTATATTTTTGTACCTCTATATCTTACTGTTATAAATGCGAAAGTTTGGATGTATGGATGGATGGATGCTTGTTAGAGTTAGTTAGGTAACTTGAGAACAGCGGCATGTTTCTCTCTGAAATTTAGCATAGATGTAGAACATAGTCTTGAAGAATAGGCTACTAATTAAGCTTTTTTTATCACACGCAGACGGAGTCGCAGGCTACAGCTAGTTCATAACATAAACATGACATTCATACCAGCACAAAGATACTTGATTACAATTTCAAAAGTACTATAATTATGGATTTTTTTTTTAAAGTTTGTTTTGTAAGAATTGAAGTATCCATTTCCTGAAGTAAGGCTTAATTACTTTAGTAGTTATGAAAAGGAATTACATTCAGGAAGAGCAGAGGGATGAAGACTTAATTAAGGGTAAACATTAACGAAAACTTTGTCAGATTTAAACTAAGCCAAGGATTATTTTATGAGATTCTAACCCAAGGGAATTAATAGCATCAAGTTAGTAATTTCGTGGCTTAGAAGTCGTGTCAGTTATATTGAAATCCGTAATAATTAGAGAGTTAGAGAGCAATTTTAGGTTAAAACCAGTGAGAGTCAAAAATTGAGGCTAGTGTATATTTTCCTAATATGAAGATTTCAGAGATTGATTAAGATAATACAATAAAAAAATAACAAAAAGAAAAATAACCAAACCGAATTCTTAAATCTTGTAAAACGAATAATGTAACTCTTAATGCTATGAAACGCATAGAGATGGTCCTGCGAGAGCTATAAGCGATGGACTGACAGGAAACGACACATGACAGGCGATTTTAGCGATCTCTTATGTTGGAGGTCAAGACCCACTTTGGGTCGCTGCGCCAGCGGAGTAAGTTATGGTATAACCTTCTTTTTTTTGAAGTGGGCTAAGGAATGTATAAGGGAAAGGGATTAGATAAAATTAAACAACGTATTTTGACGTAAAGTCAATTTATTTACATATATTAAATTGGTATCTATAACATCTATAGTATAGCGGTACAACACGAATTTAAAATAGTACAGGATGTTACAACATAGAATAAAATCAACATAATTTAACATAACATAGATTAGAATAATTAATTGACTAGATTAAACTGACAATAAGATTAACGATAATCTGGCAGTTGTTTTTGGTCACAAAAATTAAAATAATTTTAATTTTAAATTAATTTTACAAAGAAATATTAATGTACCACAAATTAAAAATGGAATGTTCAGATGTACATCTAAATATGACTAGAGATATGATAAATATAGAAAGGGAACAATTCGTTCGTTGTAGCGCATTTTCTAATACAGAATTTATAGGAAAAGTTTGAGCTTGAAAAGTTTTTAAAATTGATTCAAAGTTTAAAGTTATATTGATTTACTACAATGAAGAAAAATTTAACACGGAGACATTTAAAAATGTACTTTTACACTAATGCAATCTTTGTTATCGTACAGAGATAAAATTGTTACATTCAAAATCTGACTATAACATCATCCGTCGCATTCACAAAATATCTCGTAAGCCGATACAGAGAAATATCATAGAATGAGAGACATATGAGACGGTATCTTTGTTACGCACAACATGGACCCAAAAGGGAGATCGACGGCGTTGAATTAGAAGCTGGTCCGGCCAAATATGAAATTGCCAGCCGCATTCGGATCCTCGGTAGAGAAGTATTCCTTCCACAATTCTTGGAATTCTTCCCATGACACATTTGCCTTGCCCTGTAATATAAATCTTGTTAATAGAAGAGCAAACATTCAAAGACAATGATTATTTATGATTAGTTTTCATCAGTTCCCATAAACTTATGTTAATCATAATATTATTCCACTTTTCTCGTAGAAATTGCACACATATTATTTACTATTAGGTATATTCAATAGTAAAGATAAATTTTTAAAACATTTAAACCTAGAGAATGAAGACAAAAGACGGACGTGAGCCGAAGTAAAGAAACGAGAGGGACACAATTCTTAAAAACAATCAAACTTAGAAAATACTCCAAGAAGTATTCTAACCTTGGCCATCTTAGTGAAAGCCATCTTACACTCCTTAGGATCGATACCGTAGGAGGAGCAGACGGTGGTGAATTCGTCACAATCAATGGAGCCATCAGCGCTGGCGTCTTCCAGCTGGAACATGAAATGGCAGTACAGCTGCTGCCACTTGAGTGCAGCAGATGGGTTCAGTGCGTAGTCATTCCACATGGAGACCCATTCGTCCACGGACACCTGGTAAAAAAATTCAACAATGAAAGGAACGCACATATTAAAGAGAACTTGAGAGGTCTTTTGGGATTTCTTTAATTTTTTCAAGTTTTTCATATAGCGGACATTTTCTAGATTCTGTTAAACAATGTGTACCAACTGACCTGTCCATCTTTGTTGGAATCAGCCCTCTTCCTTAAGCCATCCCAGATCTTGATCATTATTTCATGAGTCTCAGTATGCTTAGCATCTCCAGGCTTCCATCCTCGAAGGCTGCACACTTTCTATACAACAGAAGACCAAATTTAACGCACAAATTAAAAAAGAAGTTCCATTTACTACGTGATTTACATTTACTTACTTCAATGGCAATTTCGAAATCTTTCCTTTCGATAGTTCCACTCTGGTTAACATCTTAAATGAAGATAATTTATTAGAATAAAATTATTAATTAATTTTGATTGTAATAAAAGAGTAACAAGTAAGAATTCTAGTAATTAAAGAACTTGGTAGGAGAAAACATGTGTTAAAGTAATTTGGCACTACAACATTCCGTCCCTGGTCGCAGATCAAGAGGCAGACCCAAAACGAGATGAAAGATGTAGTTTTGCAACTGTGACATGAGTCAGTGCCAAGTTTCAGAAGATGTCATGGACAGCGAAGCGGAAGAGACTGATTAAGAAAGCTGACCTCACCACCTTGTGGGATGTAACCTAGGCAGAGAGATGGAAGAAAACATGTCTGGTCCAACGTGGGAAGAAGGTGATAAAGAAACAGAAATATTGTGAAATAATTTACCGAAGAACACGTTGAAAACGTAGAGCAGCTTCTTCCGTCTGAATTCGGAGATCGACATTTTTATTCTGTAATAAAAAATAAATTATTTATTATTTAATTATTAACATATGTATGTTGAGCGTCGGTGGCTCAGGGGTTTAGCCACTTGACTTGTAATCTGCAGGTCCTGGATTCGAATCCCACCATGTACCAATATGTTTTCGATTTACATATGTACATTTATCCGACGCTCTTACTATGAAGGAATACATCGTGATGCAACCTGTACATATCTGTGAAAAATTCCAAGATATGTGTGAAGTCAATCAACCCGCACTTGGCCAGCGTGGTTGACTATGACCTAGTCACCCCTAACTTGGGGTAGGCTCCGAGCCCCTCGGTGGGTACGGATAGTGAGCTGATGATGATATATATATTGGAGACCCACATAAATATTTCTGAAACATGTTTAAGAGATAACAAGAACAAACAAGAGAACTTGTACAGAACAAAACGAAAACTTTAAAAATCATTTAAAATTTACTATAAATATTCTGTTAAAATAAACATCAAAACTCTTATGGAATATTAAAACAAAATCCCTTAGCGAGTTCCAATTTCCGTTTTATCATAAACCAGCTCACGTTTCGAACGAAAACTTTTTGGTCGCTTCTTTTTCTTTTATTGGAATATCCAAGCGACTTATTGCTAAGAAAGATTACGAATTATACCAATAAATTTAGCGAGTTTTCTTTTTGCAGGAAAAAATTTGTTCGAATAACTTTGAATCATTATTTCTTAAGTTACATCAATAGACTTTTGCGCAATATTTATCTTCAAATACTGACTGACTACCACGCATTTTATAATTCTGCCAAGTCTGGTCTTATTCTTTGTTCTTAGCTAGCATTTTAGACTTAAAATGGGACTTCAAATTTTACTCACCGTAGTTAATTAGTTCGATCAGCAAAGTACCTATAAAATAAATAACAATTATTAACTTTGTTAGTCCAATATTTCTGATATAAAATAATTTATTAGTGTTAATGAAAAAGGTTATGAAACAACTGTAATAAAAGTTACGTGACATGAGAATAAACGCACGCGGACGCGGGAATTATACCAAAGAACTAATCTCGTTTAATATCAATGGAATTTATTATTATATTTTTAGACATTATTAGTAAGAATTATTCAGAGCGAATGTCGCGTTTTCTTTACAAAGTCAAGTGTCAGATTGATTAGTGAGGGGGAAATGTTGACATTTTAATAAGGCTGTTGCGCCGATACATCGGCAGAGTGTCGGATTTTCTTCCTAACAATACTTATTTCGATTTATCAATCTAGGAAGTAGCTTCCTGGAAAGGTACAGTCAATTTTGATTCAATAAATAAAAAAAAGCCTTACAGTATCACTTCAAATTAACTTTCACCACGAAAGGTACGTAAAGGATGGAAGGTTACTGAATTTTCTTTGGAAAGAACATCTTTACAATGACAAAAGTTCTTCTTAACTCAGTAATGTACTTATCTAGGTTTTCGGGTCTATATTAATAGTCCAAGCGGACAAAGACAAGTCTAAGATCCGTATAAATTTTAGACGAAGTCCGTTTACATTGCGTTCTTTATCATTATTTTCACTAACGCCTTGACATTTAAGTAATGTTTTCATTTTGTTTACGGATTTCGGACACGGAATAATCAAGATAAAATACTTATTTTAATGTTTTGTGATGACACATTTATTATGTTGTCATTTCTCTCACACTTAATGGAATAAACAGAGATAAAATGTGAAAATAAGTTTTATGGTAATTCCAATGTCAAATATAAATTAACTAAAATGATTATATTCAAACAATTAATCAATTAAACGTTTTTGTATAAATATTTTCGATTAAATTGAAATGTAGGTTTTTTCTTTAATTATTCAGATTGCTGTGTAGTTAGTACTCTTACCCAAAGATCGTTTAAGTTTATGTTTAAGTAGATTATCGATAAAACACGAATAAAATGACATTTTCTAAAAATGATTCCTAGCTAGATCGATTTAGCGCCCCCGAAACCCCCTATATACTAAATTTTATGAAAATCGTTGAAGCCGATTGCGAGATCCAATTATATATACAAGAATTGCTCATTTAAAGATATAAGACAAAATATTTGTAAACATCATAAAAAGCATAATAAGAGATCTGAAACACTAATTGGATGGAAGAAACTCGGTGTACTTAAGTGTCAAATAATAATTAGCATTTGTAGCCATCTGGCTCTCTTTGTTCTTTTGAAGAACAAGAAATTGAGATGAAGTTCATTATATTAGGCCCTTCATACACAAGGCAACGTAAATCTTCCAAACCCAGCGATTTTAGTCGCTCAGCAACTATGCAATATAGAGTAAAAGGTGTCGTAACCTGTCTGGCAGATAATCGCGAGAAAAGCTACGATATTCAAGATGGCGGAGCAAATTATATTTGGTACGTAGTCGCTATGCCTGCACTGACTGAATAGACGACTTGCGTCGACGATTCAACGTTGTGTGTACAGAACACGCAACGCGACACTCACGACACAAGAATACAATATTAATCTCGATTTACTTTGCCTCGTGTACGAAGAGAACAAAAAAAACGCGACAAAATCAATGCCATACTAAGGATTTCGCTACAAGATAATGTAATGTAAGTCCGTGTCTACGATTTTTTTACACATATACTTACGATTAAGTGAAAATATATACTTCAAATTAAGTTACTCTAACAAAAGTCGTTGCGTGCCTTAACTGTTAAGTACGCATATAATTTATTATGACAAACCTACATTTAAGGCGAACAGTAAATTCGGGCAGTAATTCCAACGTACTTTAGACATCTCTGCGCAATTTCTTCGCCACTTTTATTAATGCGACATTCGTTAGCACACGCTATAAAATAAATCGTTTAATATCTTAACGTAGAATAAGATTTTATAAGTCGCATACATTACCATCTTTCGACTACATTAGCACTGAATGTCGTCATTGTCCCCATTAAGGAGCCTACTAGGACCTAGGGCTTACCCAAGCTAGAAGTAACTAGGTCTTACTCCGTAAAACCTGGGCTAATGCAAGTTGCCTAATATTATTTTGCAGATATGTGCAGGCTACATCTCGATGTCAATAAGCAGCCACTACAGGACTTCTATAGTGTATAATTGTTGTTAAAAATGTATACTAAGCGGCTGCTTAAGTTACTATAGAAATTTTCTGAGTGCTGCCGTAAGTCAAACGTATGACCATGACCAATCATAATTTTGCAGAGGTGTATTCATGATCTTGAAATATTACCATTATAAATCGTGTAAATTATTACACAGTATCGAAATTACACCATTTATAAACGTGAATGAATATTTTTTAAATGTAAAAAAATAATCTTTAGTGAAATATTCCTAGTTGGAATCAACGTCTACAGTTTTCCCGCAAAAAGAACACGCTAAAAAAGAATTATGAATATGCAAATGTTCTCTGAATTACCATCTTTATTTGAATCTCCAGTGAGTAAACGACATTTTACGCGGAACGTTTTTATATCTTTATTTAGTTTGTTCTCACATCCCGCCTCAATTGTGTCACGTTCCGTATTATTTTTCGTTTTCTTGCCTTCATTTTGTCGGAGAAACATATGAAAAAACTTTTAGGACATTCAAAGGATTAAAGGAAAGGATATCTGCGAAACAAATGCGTTTTGAATTCTTTAATTTTTACTTAATACATAGGAAGTAAAAGAACAGAATAAAGAGGAGGCTTACTTAATATAATTACGGCTTAATATAATCTAGGAATTGAAAAAAAAAAGAAATTTTATATCATCGTCTTTCTCTGCCTATGTATATTCACACAACATTTTTCACGCAATTCATCTCATCCTAGTCCGTGCCTTTATTCTTATATATTAGCTATATTTTTTAAATGTTTTAGTTTATTAAGATTCAGCAAGAAGTGAAACAAGGTAAAGTTAAATTCCTTACTCCTGCTTCATATCTAAAAGGATCTAATCGATACTCCCCGATGTTTTGCGTGACTTGCTAAGGCACGGAAATTTCATATATCAAGCCGACGGCAATAACTTTTTTACGCTTCTGAATACTGAAGTAAATATTGAATTAAACATGATAATAAAAATACATTGCTTGAGGCATATTTGTGAGTTGTATATATTACTAGTTTTTTATTACGGAAAAAAATTTTCGGAAAAAATTTTTTTTGTTTTTAATTTTTAATAAATTGGAAGCATAAAAATTTGTAAAAACGTACAGTTAATTTTGTCATTTCCATTACTGCATGTAAAAGTGTTTCATTAAAAAAAACTTTAAATAAAAGCAACTTTCTGTTATAATCCAGTGTGAAACTTCACACAAGTCTCTTGGGTACAACTAAATGTGTAACTTTAAAAGGTATTACGTAAGTGAAACCACATTAAATAATAGTACAAGAGTTACTTCAATGGTTATATGACATTCTATCATGGTCAGAGGTTCGAAACTAAAAAAAGATTAAAATTATAAATAAGATCAAATTGAGTTGAGTACTTTATTTTACTACGAATAATAACAGATTTATATTTGATAATTGTATTCTTATATTTTCAATAATTCCGAACCCAAACAATTTTTTTTTAATTTCTAAGTATACGTATATAAACGCGTGTAATTAAAATTTAAATCTTACTGATATTATAAATGTGAATGTTTAAATGGATGGATGGATGGATGTTTGAATTTATCTCCAGAGCTGCTGCAGGGATCTTGCTTAATTTTAAATTTGGCATAGATGTAGAACACAGTCTGGTAGAACTCGAAAGCTACTAATTAAGTTTTTATTTTAATTCAGACCGGAGTCGCGGGCGACAACTAGCTTTTAATAATACTATTACGTCACAACGAGTAAAATCCCAAGAACATAAAAGTGTTAAATCTTAAGACTTTAAAAGAAAAATTCGAAGATAAAAGCGGCGCCTTTTAAAAGTTTTCTTACATTTTAAATTCTACGCGCAAAGGCGGAGGGTTGTGTAACGACGAACTTATAAACTTTTGAGTTCTTAGCACTCTACAAAATTCGACATGTTACACAAAGTTTTAAGTCGCTACGATGTTTTTTAATAGAACGGTAAAAGCTTTGTGCTTTTGTATAATATAACTTATATTTCAAAATATTTTTTTTGCAACACTAAAATTACATTTGAAATATTACTTAAAGAAAAAAATAAATCTTTTACTCGAAAAAAAATTGAATAAAATCCAGAGAAAAATAGATTCGTTGCTAACTCAATTTATAAATCACAAAAATATATTTTCATCAACTTATTTTGATAGACAAAAATCTAAAATCTCAAATGATTTTTTTTTAAGTAAAATAAATTGAACCTTTAGAAAATAATATTAAAATAAAAAAAACTATTAATTTTATTGTACACCCTTTACTTAGATTTTTAAATTTTCCTAAATTGCAAAAATGTGTACAAAACCCTACAATTGTGTGTAGTGTGCAACGTACCTTGGAGCGAGGCGAGCAGCGTAGTCGGGAGCACAACGTGTAATGCCGTGCGCCGTTCTGAGTCCGCCCGTCCTGCCCTACGCTGCAGTTCCACTGACAGACTGCGCTTATAGTGATAGGCGATGGCATAAGCGGAAGCGTTTTTAGATAAAATTTGTGCAATTATATAACATTGTAACGACAGTCAATTATTTTTTATATTTATTGTGATATTAGGCCGAACAAATTAGGATATAAAAATATTGATGCAACCGTAGTACTATGTCCATGACATTTGTAAATAGATACCATCCCTTTCTTTCTCTTTTACGAGACAGAGAAAATAATATGAAACTGTGGGATTGTCACGGCTGTGGAATTCTACGTTTATACTGTCAGTATTTTGATGTTCGAGGTAAACAGCCAGTTTTAGTCGATAATAAATTATCGTAAAAAAGCAATTCCTGCTATGAATCGAGCAGCAAAGAAATTTATTGTCTAGATCACGCATCTTTCTAAAAGCAATACTCTGTTTCTAATGTTATTCTTTTTTTTCGTGACTTAATCTATATAATTATATAATCATAATTCATCATCATAATTCATAAGTCATCATCAGCTCACTATACGTCCCCACCCAAGGGAGCCTACCCTAAGTTAGGGGTGACTAGGCCATAGGCGCAGTGCGGGTTGACTTCACACATATCTTTGAATTCATAGATATATGCAGGTTGTATCTTGTTTTCCTTCACCGTAAGAACGCCGGATAAATATACATATGTAAATCAAAAAACACATTGGTACAAAGCGGGATTCGAACCCAAGACCTGATTACAGATTGCTATTTTTGATACGACTTTTTTTAATTCTAAAAACACATTGACCAGGCCGGAGATGATTTAAGGAGAGTTGAAACGAGTAATAGGAATTGAAACATAAACTTCCTAACAAATATGCCTTTGATATCTCTTAGAGTTTGAAGTTTCTATGAAATTTTGTTTACTTTATATAAAGATTCCGATAGTATAGGAAACGCGTTCCAACTATCGCCTGAAGATATATTGGTTTTATTGCATGTTACATCATAGAACATACTAACATTGGCGTTCAAAACTTAGTACAAATACAGTAACGTGAACTTTGGCAGAATATCAAAGATCTGAACGGAAATTCGAAGAAATATAACATGGAAACTATAACATAGTAACGATTTTAACTCTACTAGCGCCTTGGGCGGGATTTCTACGGCACCCTTTTTTACCATACCTTTACCAACAGGGGTTTTGTAAGATTATGTATTACGCAAACCTGTGGCGTCCCAACATAAAACATTTTCAGACTTTTTATTAGCTCAATGACATATCTTAAATGCTTCGTTTAAAATTTTATTCTTATTGTAAACAAATTCTGGTTAGACTTTAAAATAAAACAAATAAACAAATCGTTTATTTAGGAAATAAAAGTATGATTAAATTAGAAAGTAATGTGTCTGTTTCCTAAACTATGTTCTAGACCAGTCTTTCTTAAAGTGGGCGATAACGTCCCCTTTTGGGCGGTGCAGATCTCAAGTTGCGGGTTATAGTAAAAGTTTCGTTTAGAATTCTTCGTTAATATACATATATAGGTCACAATAATTAATTAATTTAATCTGAAGTTATAGTGGTTTTTAAATATGTGAAAATATGGGGGGCGCTAAAAATATTTATTCTCAACGTGGGCAGTAGACAAAATAAGTTTGGGAGCCACTGTTCTAGACCATTATAGAAGCTAGTCTTTCGTCTTGGCTATAACTTAAGTGTCATTCGTAAAAAGATACGGGGAATTTTTTTTCTTTATCTTAATATTACTACAATAGTTTCTAATCAATAATTGGAGATGAGAACGGTTGGAATTCCTAAAAGATGACTACAGCTTTAGTTGGAACGTGACCGGCTTTACGAATACTACAGTAATATTGTGAACTCGTGTTCTATGAACCAAAACATTCCTTAGAAATAAAACTAATATCGACTTTAGAAAATAGCATCAATTTTAAATTCTATTACATCTTTCAATTCGGTACAGTTTCCACAAAATTATTAATATTGTAGCTAATATAATATTTTAGTTTATTAACCTTTCTCATTATGATTTGCAGTTTTTTTTACGTATTAAAAGTACATAAATATCTGCGATTTCAGTTGCCTATTTTTATTCAACAGAGGACAGGACACAAAGAAGATATTTCCCACTTCTATGCGTTCCTCTTCAAATCCGCTTCCCCTTCCCATAATTTCCTTATAAGAATAAAGTTGGAAAGGAAACGTAGACAAAACGTATGCCTATTTCAGTTCACTCATCAGAATTAACGCGGAATTGTCTTCCATTGTCTTTGTGGTCGTAATATTTCATCGGTCAACCCGACCTGCAATCACCGCATATTTTTGTAGCCGGAACAACTAAGAAGAATGATATAACATCAAAATAATGTGTGTATTAGCTATCGCTCGCGACTCCGTCTTCGCGGAATTAAAAGAAAATAATAAGTAGCCTATGTGTTCTTACAGACTGTGTTTTACATCTATGGGATTTTCGTTCAGTCGTCCAATCCATCCATCCATTCGCATATACATTAGTAAAATTATATTACGAATTTTAACGTAAACTAACATAACTCAAAGCAAACAACAAAACATAAATAGTCTATTCAACCTCGACTCTCAGAGCTAAGGTATTGTCCAGTTGGACTATTCCATTTTGACTTTACACTACGTTAACAGAACACTCCAATTCATATGTCAGTCTGTTGCTAAGCTTCAAACGCAGACGGTCTTTGTGTTCAAAGCTACGATGATCACGAACGACAATTCTAAACCTTTTCATCCTTGACATAGTTCTGTTCATAGCTGTGGGTAATCTGTACTAAAGTTATTAACACGTTAAACGTCCATAGTGCAAATAGAAAAAAATCACTAAAAAATCTTTTTGCTGGAAATAGATGCGTAATGTGGAATCTTCAAAATATATCTATTATAGTTTAGGGTTCAATCAGAAGCTGGGTTGCATAGATATTATAAAAAAAACTTCATGAGGTCATAATTAAAAAAAACACGGCGCTTAAATGCAGGAAGGGATCCGGTCACTAGCGACCGGAGTGGCGTTTAACGTGTTAAGAGAAAAAAAATCCTGGATGAACCAAAAAGAATCTCTTGACTAATAAATTTCATCAGTACTTTGTATGTATACGAGGCAAGACTAACGAGGGTTTTTTGAAGGTTAAATCTAAAATTATATAACATTTAAATTTCTCTACTTTTCGTTCTTCACTCCAAAAAAAAAAAAACAATTCATCTTTTCTTAGATGTTATAAATACTCTATGCTTACATGGATGGATGTTTGTTGGAATGTTTGGTAGAAGGTATCTCTAGAATGGTTCAACAGATCTCGATGAAATTTGGTACTCTACATTTCTGAGAGCGTAGTGTGGAACATCGTTACTTAGTTTTTTTTTAATTCGGCGCAGACGGAGTCGCGGGAGACAACTAGTATGTAATAAGCTCTATTTCTTGTATTCTTTAGCTTTAAGAACGAAATAAGAAAGTAATTTTTGTCCAAATATTATTTAATATTCGTCTTAATATGAAAAGATCTTGTTTTTATCAAGGTTGCTGCCTACCCTTATAATTAATTTAGGCCGTAACGCTCTGTCAACAAATATTCTCCACGTTATGATACATGTACTAATATCCACGAATATAAATTTACTAGATGTGTCATTGTAATACAAAATAATACAGTAAAAATTATCAATACTTTTATGTAATTTAATTTGATGTGCAGTATTCAATAAGTTTTTAATAGAACTAATTACTAAGTGGATAATCAAAAAAAAATATTTTACTTTAAAAAGACGATTGAGCGCGGTTTCAGTTAATCACATAGTTTATTGCAATGGAAATAAGTACATAATAAACACTGAACATATAGGCAGTAAACATATAAATTGTAAATAATTTTATATATATATTTTGGAAAGTTGTCCGTACTTATTCTTAACGTTAAAATATTGTTTTATTTATTTGTCACTTTCAGTATTTTGCCATCTGTTTAAAAATAAAAAATGAGTCGTACGTGACAGGCATGTTTTATGAAAAGCTATTACTATTGAGGTCGCAGAAAACACGAGAGTTTCCGCATCCGAGGAATATTAATTTGCTTCTTTAATGCAAAAGACACATTTTTTATGTATTTCTTACCTGAAAAAAAAAGAAAAAACCTGCTACTTTATTATTAAATCGCTGAAAAATATCATTGAATTAATTTGGCATTTTACGTGCGTTTTTTCAAAGGTTTTATCACTTTGGTAATCTTACTAATATTATAAATGCAAATGTTTAGATGGATAGATGGATGTTTGTTTGAAGATATCTCCAGAACATCACAACGGAGTACGATGAAACTTGGCATTATGTAATAGGCTACTTATTAAGTATTTTTTTTAATTTCGCGCGGACGGGGTTGCGGGCGACAGCTAATAAATTAAATAACAACTTGAAAACACACGCTCCAACAAATATTCGTTATGAAACAAACATATCACATGAATGCTTGGATAATGCCACATCCTTTCATATCAAACAAATGCAGACATTTTGCACTTGCAATTCATATTATCTTTGTTTTGTACAGTCTGAAAGATATGACTTAACTAGCTGTCGCCTGCGACTCTGTCTCATTATTTTTACACTATGTGTTCTTTCAGACTATGTTCTACGTCTATGCTATTTTTAAGTAAGCTCTATACAGCCGTTCTGGAGATACCGACAAACAAACATCAATCCATCCACCGATCTATCCATATGTCCAAACATTTTCATTTATAATATTAGTAAGAAGTAAAATAAAATCTCGTATGTTAGTGTTTAATATGAAAAAATATATTATAAGTTAAATGTATTTGTATTTCATCCCCAGTTTCTCGCTACGTACTTTTCCTGCAAATTTAATCAAAACTCTGATTGAATTGTCCAATAAAACTTTCCTGTCTAGATTAAGATTTTCTTACAGATTTCTTGAAAACAAGGTAGGC